ATTCCTACTGTTCCAATTTTCTTGGAAGTCAAAAGTCTTCAGACAGGGAAAATGCTAAAGACTTCAAAATGCCATTACGAGGTTTCTTCATTAGCTCTTTACCAACAGACAGTTGTGTTGGTAAGGTAGAGATGTCCAGGATAACAAAACTGGGCTCTCTGAAATTTACAGTGGCTCCTGCTTCCCTCTACTGTCCAATAGTGAAAGCCCAAAAAAGAAAAATATTTCTTTTATTATTACAGTGTAAAAATCCTTAAGGCCTAAGGGAAACTCATGTCCACACATTCCAAAGCAAATCTGGGAAGATGGGAGCTGGGGAACAGGGTAACAGACAGAGCTGTTTAGAATTATGGGCTATGTATCTAATGCCATAAATGCAAATTTAGCTATGAAAAAATAAGTAGTACAAGAGTGAAAGACTTAGCTTGTGGGGTACCAGAGGACTAGTTTCTACACTGACCAAATAAAATGCCATAGGCCCCTGGAAATTAAAAGTACTGATGTGAGGTCTGCCCAGAAACTGCTTAGCAGTCTCCATAAGAACTGGTCCCTTACACCAGAGCCAGAGATGCTGCGTCAAAGCATCTGCAGCAAGAGAGCTGGAAGAGACAACTTAGTGACAAGAATCTGTACTTCCCACTTCCACACATTTCCTTTCTGTGGCAACCACAGAATACAGGGTGGGCAGCTGTGACACACTGCAGCCGTAACAACAACACAAAGGGCGGCACAGGCACACGACTGACATCAGGGCAGAATACACTTGTGCACACAGAGTTAAAAGCCAATTCCAAAGAGTCGGGCAGTGATATGCAGCCATGCTGCTCACATCAGAGGGGACAACACAAGGACCAGTGCTACAAGCTATACACATTTTGAAGCTTAGACAGTCTATTTTAGAAACTGATACGGTTAATTAGGCACAGATGGTTAGTGTTTTTAATGATCTTTTTTGAGATGCTTTCCATGGGTGCTTATTGGTGTCATATGACAAACACAATAAAAACCGAGTAAGTCATCCTAAAACTAATGGTCTTTTCTGAGAAAACACATGGGTCTTTCCCTGCTGCTGTCTGAGGGGCCTGTGTCATGTACTGCTCATCAACAACACCCTTCTGGAAAAAGACTGTACGTGACCCATCAAGTCATTAAGTCGCACTGCATGTGTGTTCTCTATGTCTGCCAGGCCCCAGGACTCAGTGCTCCAGGAAAAACGTCTGATGTTTTAATCTCAATGGAAGTTTTCACTTCAGTGTCTTTCCCTTAATGGTTCAAAACTGGAAGAAGCCAGAGTTGAAAAGTTATTTATTATCCTTTCATCTGTTCATTTGTACGTAGCCAGCAAAACATATCACTTTCAGGTCCACAAAAACTATACTGGCTTGTTCAAATTTCTGGAAGAGAAAGATGAGGCCCATAGCCCAGCTGAACTGTGGAAATGCTACTGCACTGGAAAGAAGGTGCTGCTGGCACTTGAGCTCCCGACTCTCCTGTCAGAGAAAGACCAGCTGACCAACCAGTCTCAGAAAACAGCAGAGCTTGCGGGGCCTTAAAAACGACCTGCTCTGACCTCCGCACTTAAGAGGAAGGAGCTGGGTCTGGGACTCGAGCTTCATTTTCCCATATACCTCAACTTCAGTTATTCTGACTCTAAAGTAAAAATGCCTTTGAAAACAGCAGGACTGATGATCATAATGAGCTAAGTTTTCAAACTATCTAAAATACTAAGTTATTTAATAGTCCACTTTGTCTTAGTTATTGAGTTCTTGGTAATAAATTCGAACTTCATTTCCCCTCCTACTAGCCTACTGTATTCCTTCAAATGCTGGTACATGCACAATGAGAATTTAAATCAGTTAATCCCATGTTACAATCAAGGTGCTTTTCAGATGCTCTTACCTTCTCTTGGTTGTACTTGGAAGACCTCATCAGAGAATTTTCTGCAAGTTCTTGACTGTGCCTGAACCAAGAATGACTTTTGAGTTTTCATTAGATGACTGTCAAAGTGAAATTGAGTTTCAGTCAAGACCCCATTCAGTCAAGAAGGAAACATTACGTCACTTCAGGACCTCTGAGGGTATGAGTTGGTTTCAAGTCTTGATCATGTGGTAGATTCCGGAAGCGGCTAAGCCATCAGCCAGTAGTAACTTTTAAATAGTCAACTCTTTAGAAGGGGCAGTTTGCTAGAGAAGCATGGAATCAGACAAGAAACCAGCCCTGGCAGTTGTCTGAAGTCCTGCCCAATGCAATGATAGGGTAATAAACACACTGAAGCCTACAGGATTTCAGTAATATGCCATGTTCTGGATTGGTGTCAATTCTAAAGTTTGAAGTGTTTTGCAATAAGGGATTAAACAGCTGGATTTGGGAGGTAGGTTTGCAAATCACTGGAAAATCAAAAGAGAAACATATTGTGTTAAAGAAAAGTGACCCTAAGTTTGAAGATGTAGGATATACCATATGGAGCCCTAAATTGACAAGACATGCAGAGATGTCCTGTGATATCAGAGTTCAAGTTGTATAACCAGGTCTGTGTCTTAAGATCTGTTAGAAATGCAGCATCTCAGCACACGCTCCCTCCCGGGAGCCCATGACTTTCCCTTCCCTCTCTACTTTCCCCACAGGCATGCTTCTCTTAAACTCTAAATGGCTCCATGAGGAGACTTGCAACCAGGGTAACATGGGCAGCAGCGGCTTGTCCCAGACAAAACCCCTGAACTTGCCCCCAAGATCACCTTTACTCTGACTTCCCAGTGAGCCAAAGCAGCCCTGCCTTGGCTCACTTCTTTTTTTTTTTTTAAGATATTTTACTGACGTTTTTAGAGACAGGGGAGGGGGGGGAAGAGAGAGAGAGAGAGAGAAACATCGATGTGAGTGAAACATCGACTGGCCACCTCCTGCATGCCCCCTACAGGGGAGCAAGCCCATAACCCTGGCAGCATGTGCTCTGACCAGGAATTGAACTGGCAACCTTTTGGTACACAGACCACCAACCAACCAACTGAACCACACCAGCCAGGGCCTGGCTTACTTCTTTCCTGTAATGTTTCTAGAGAGCCAAAGAAGCCCTGCCTCGTCTCTTTCCTGTTGCTTCTTCTCTCCTAAGTCCTTCCTTACCTCACTGTCCTCAGCTTTATAAACATACTATCGAAACCACTGGACTCATGTTGTGAAAGCTTTCCTGCACCAAGTCAAGAACCCACACACTACAGGCCGGCCTAAGGCAGACCCGCTCTAGGCTGGGTTCCCTGTTTGGTAACTTTCTCTGGCGACCCAGATGTTTCCTGATGCTGTTTTGTCATCAACATCACAGGTCACGTATGGTGCTATGGCTCGGATCACCTTACTGCCCTTCTTGAGCTACTGATGAAGTGTAAGCCATACAGAATTTACCTGAACACCTGATGACATCACCAGAGATATTTTACTGATTTTAAACTGCAGATAAAGAGGATCTGTCAGACTGTCACTGCTTGCTTTCATTCCAGCAAAACAAGCTTTAAGTCTCACATCTAAAAATCTTCTCGACTGACAGTCTTATGAACTCAGAAACTAGTTTATAATTTGTCCTGATCATTAACCTTTGTTTTTTTCCTTCTGTTTTCATAGGCATATCCCTCATTAAATACCTGATTGCTTGTTTTAAAAAAAGAAAGAAATGCAGCCCCTTATATGATAACACAAACTCAAGACTTGTGTTTTATCATTTATAAACAAGGTAATGCAAGTTATGATTTGGTTCCTCTTCCAAAAATACACACTATAAACCAAGACAAATGGACAAATACAGGAAACACAAAAGAAAACCAGAATGACCTCAAACGTTTCAGTAGGGAACACTGCAATCCAGTTTTCCTGTCCTCCCCTTACTCACAATTACATGCTATGGTGGCCAGAGGGGAAAGTTGTGACTATAAAATAATGACCTTGATTTCAAAGGTGAACTGAGAATCAGCCACACGCCTTATCTTACTGCTTCATCACAGAGGCTGTTTTACAGAAAAGTCATAAACAGGAAAACAAGGAATTGATTAAGCAAGTGTGGCCAGAGAATCCAAACAGAAGTCTAAGAAAAGCTGTTCTTTCCAATGTCGTGAAATTCATAATCTATCAGACTCAGAATCCAGCCAATGAACAACCTTCCTGATCCTGGAAAACATGTAAATAGGGCGAACGGTACAATCAGCATTCAGACCTAGTAAGTTTGATTTTAAAATGCTACATTTGAGAGACATCTGAAAATTCAAAATCATTTTGGAATATCCAAGAATCTCAAAGTTAAGGACATTTATTCCTGATTGGGGAAATATAACACTGCATTAAAGCCTAAAATATTATTTATAATCTTGTTTGTAAACCATTTAAATTTTAAATAACAGTTAACTTTAGGACTATCTCCCTCTAAAATTTCATTGTTAAGAAAACTTTCTGGGGCCACAGACTGTGATTTCTCTCCCTCCAGGACAGAAGGGAGTCATAGGTTAGATGACATAGATGTGTGATGTCCATGCTCATCCTTTTTAACTGAGTGGGTCGTTTCAAAGGCTTTCTGAGACAGCCCACAGATGTTGCCCATAAGAAGCATGACCCCGGCCAGGTGGAACGAGCCCTGTATCTGACGGCAATTCCCCCACTGCGCGAGCGACCTGGGAAAGGTGCTGCCGCCGCCTGCGGAAGTGCGCGCTTCCTGCACTAACAGACACGAAGGCTTCAGGAGCACCCTAGGCATGACTTATTCTTTCAGCCCAGGAGATACTGGGCTGGAGCTTTTGCACACGTGTAAGCGAAGAGCTTTCTCACCACCTGAGGCCAGAGACGGGCAGTGACCAGCACTGGCTGTGCAGCGGCCGCAGAGTGAGCCTAGAACAGAGCACAACTTCAGCACAGAGACACAGAAGCATCACAAAAGGCCATGCGTGGTGATTAAGTGAGAAGCCAAGCACTGTGCGGGAGGCCTCAGGCTCAGAAAGGCACAGAGGTGCCCTCCACTCACGACCGACCTGCTGCGGCCCTGCACGTCCCCCAGCTCCTTCTGCAGCCTCGCATTCTTTTCCTCTTCCTCCAGCAGCCTCCTCTTCACGGCGCGCAGCTCCTGCTGGGCCTCACACTTGATGTCGTTGGCCACCACCACCGCAGTCTGCAGGTCCGCCTGGAACCGCCTCCACTCCTCGGTTTCCTCCTGAAAACGCCAGAGCCCACACCCGCATCAGACGCCGCAGGGCTGGCACCACGGCAGGGGCTCCAGGGTCCCCGTGCCCAGCACTGAGGAGGACTGGCCGGGCAGTGCCTGGGGAGACATCACTACCAGGCAAAGGCACAGGCGGGAGCTACGCCTTCGTGTTAGCAGAGCTCTCCATCCTGAAACCGAACGGCTGCTTTAATTTTACTTCCTGCCAACACTAATTTGGGCCTATGCCATGGAAATGGACTATGAGAAAACAGGCTAGAGAGAGTACTCAAGGTATTTTTCAAAGGTTTCCAAACCTAAGAGGGGAATACTTCTGGTAAAATGTTGGAGAAGGTCCCGGTCCCTGCTATAACCACATCTCACCTTTATCTGCTTAGTCAGAGTCTTTAGCTGCCTCTCCAGGTCTGCTTTCTGTTCCTCCAGCTTCATCACACTGCCTAGAAGTAAAGAAGTCAGACAGGAGTTGGCAGAGTTGCGAGACTCTTGGAGAAGGTAAGATAGGTGGCAAAGGAGCAGCTCCAACTTGGCATTAGGTTTCACAATCCACCCATTCTACTGTAAATTCCATTCTTCAGAACGAAAACTGGTAGCCAGAGGCAGGAAGCTCTTCTAAAATAGAACATGGGCTGGCCGGGCGTGGCTCAGCAGTTGAGCGTCAACGTAGGATCCAGGAGATCATGGTTCGATTCCCGGTTGGGGCGTGTGCCCAGGTTGCAGGCTCCTCCCCCAGTCGGGGGTGTGCAGGAGGCATCAGATCAATGATGACTTTCCATTGATGTTTCAACTCTCTCTCGCCCTTCCTCTCTCTGAAATCAATAAAGATATATTTTTTAAAAATTAAAATAAATAAAATAAAATAGAACATGGGATGAAGTGGGAAACAAGTGGTGTTTTGATTAGGTTGCACCCTCAGATGACACGCTGTGCAGCCATGTAACACTATGGGGAGACCTAAACAGCTACTCACACTTATCACACTCACCTTTGGCCTCCCTGATATTTGGATGTATCACCCTGAATGTCCTGATCGCTGGGAGGCTTCCGTGTAACAGAGGATGTGACTAGCTATTACCACTGTGACTTTCAGGCCTGTTTCTAGAGTTGCAGCTCTTAACTGCAGTGAACCTCAGAATCAAGTGGGAAGCTTTTCAAAAGCACAGATGTTGAAGCCACAGACTCTGACCCCCCGAGTTGGTATCTCCAGGGGCAGACGGAATATGGTGTATGCACTCTAAGAGCTCCATGGGTCGCCCGACTACCTCTCCCTCGCCAAGAACACCTTGAGCTCCTTACTGTCTCTGCCTCCAGTTCTCCCACATTACTGTCAGAGTCATTCCAATTTAAATCTGATCATGTCCTCTACCTAGTTAAAATTCTTCAATGCTTGTTCATATCCACTAAAGAGTAGTAGTTGTCTACTAAGGATGTGAATCAGAATTATCAGAGAAGCTTAAAAAACTCACAGGGTCAGGTCCTACCCCAGAAGTTCTAATTCAGCATGTGGGGCTGAGGATTTGTGTTTGGGGTTGATGCTGCAGAAAGAGAATATGCCCCTGAACTTTTTATTTTTCTGTCCATTTCTTTCAAGGATCTTATGGGGAGGAGTGATTATCCTCAGCCGGATTTGTGTGTCCCTGGGCCTCCCAGTGAAACAACATCTTAAAAATACCTTAAGATCCCCGATGAAAGCTAAAAAGTTTCTTAAAAGACACGTGGTCTGTGTTACTGTCAAGCCTGGGTAGGTGATGATACAAGTGCAGGGAGTCGGCCTGGGTAGGTGATGATACAAGTGCAGGGAGTCGGCCTGACATCAGTTCTGGACATTAATTACACACTTCTTTCTTGGTGTGTCTATGCTGACTTCTAAAGACTTGGGACAATGCAACCAAATTCTCAATAGCAGTGTATCACTACGAGAAAAACCAAACCAGATTTCTCTTCTTCAACTTTCTACTTTCAAGTATGGTGCTACTGGAAATACACACAGAGCACCGACCATGGTGGTAGGTCTTTTGCTGTACTCTTAAGCATGACTGCTGAGAACAGTCTGGACGACACTGACACTAAGGTGATGTTCTACAGTTCCACCACACACCAGGTCTAATGAAGACTGGAACCCCGACGCTACTCATTAATCAAGGTGCAGTATATATGGCCAATTCTCATTATCTGTGTCAGCTACATGAAGGTGCCGCACACACCGAATTAGCAAATATTAAACTATTGTTCCTACAGGAAATACAAGGCTAGGTCTGTGAGCCTCTGGTCGAATTTTTGTCCAACAAAATGCTATTTGAATTTTATATAATAGGTTTATTTGCCAGTGTCCTTGTAAAAAAAAAAAGTTCTTCCCACTGATGCCCACATAACCCTTTTCCTGCATAACAGTCAACAGGTATTTTATTTTATTATTATTTAATTCTCACCTGAGTGTATTTTTTCCATTGCTTTTCAGGGAGAGTGGAAGAGAGAGAGAGAAAGAGAGAGACACATTGATTGGTTGCCTCCTGCTCTAGCACCGACTGGGGCCAGGGTTCAAGCCTGCAACTGAGGTATGTGCCCTTGGCTGGAACTGAACCTGGGAACCCTCAGTCCGCGGGCTGACGCTCTAACCACTGAGCAAAACCAGCCAGGGCAGTCAACAGTTATTTTAAAAAGTTTTCTGTAGCCTCCTGATCTGCAGAACCTGCCTCCCTGGCAAGACTTTAACTTCCCACTAGCTGTGTGGTCCCTGAGCCATGCGAACCAGCCCCAGCTGAGAGAAGTTTAACACTTTCCCAACTCTGGGAAATGTGACTGTAAAGTTGTCTAGTTTTTGGCTTCACAACAATGCTGTCCATTATGTTTTTTGTGTGTTTTTTAATTGGCTGTCACCGCATGAAGCCACAAATTTAGCCACTTTTCCACAGCTTCATCACACAACCACAGATTTTACTTTTAGCACCTTCTGGAGCAGTCTGGTGTGTAGATTGGTGAATTTCCTCTAAGTTTTAGTTAATGTTGAATAATTCAATGAACACTGCTGGTTTGCTAAGACTTAACTTATAGCCAAGAGCACTATAACTCGGGCTTCAACAAAGCTAATCTAACACACCTATTTTCTCCACAGCTTTTCTGTGCTTAGGGACACTACAAAGCATTTTGGGACTACACTTGTGGTTCATTTTAAACAGTGAAATCACCAACAAAAAGCACAAAAATGCAAAAAACCATGGCACTAAATAAACCATGAAAAAGACACTTGTTTACAGTGGGAGAGCTGAAACAAGAAGGTGAGTGTCACTGAGTTCAACCTGAGCTGCGAGTGCACGTTGGAAGACAAACTTTTCAATGCTCTGCACAGGTCTGACTGTGAAAGTGTCGAGAGCTGTGACTTTGAGGTTACAAATACATTTCGGCAAGTAGGTGAATTCACAAATATGGATTCCATGAATAGTCAGTTTGAGCTGTGCAGTCAGGAAACTTTCAGGCCACCAACTATTCTATTTTTAGCAATGGTGTCACTAAAAGCTCTATGCGTTAATTCTTTTGTTACAAAAGCAAAACACATTAGATGAGATCATTTGATAAGACTTATTTGGACAAAGTAGGCAATGTTTAACTGGTCTCTTTTAAAAATGTCTTTCCCTGTTCAAAGCAAACAACGATTTTGTAAATAACCTGTATATTGGTGCCTCTTCAGTGACAAAGTAGCCACCTGTTATTTGATATCCTACCATCAATGGGACACATGCTGAAATGTTTTCTGACACCAAGAGCATATATTGTTCCCATCAGTCTGACCATCTGCCACCCATTTTTTTATCCATCAGACCCAAAGATGACACACTGTCATCCCTGACGACTGTGGTCAGCAGTGCGGCTCACACAGTGTACCTAATACGCCAAACATCTGCTCTTTTTTACAGCTGCCCTACACTCCTGACTCACGTTCAATAATCGCTTCTTCTACATCACCCAGTTTTCGACTTAGTTTAGGAGATTAATTATTCTAATTTTAAAAATATATATATATCTTAGAAGAGCGAGAAATACCAATGATGAGAGAGTCAATGATCGGCTGCCTCCTGCATGCCCCCCACTGGGGATCGAGCCCGCAACCCGGGCATGTGCCCTGACCGGCAACCGAACCACGATCTCCTGGATCCTAGGTCGATGCTCAACCGGCTGAGTCACACCAGCCGGGCAATTATTCTGTTTCTTAATTGACATTCTCCCCAGGAGATTATAGAACATTCAAAAGAAAGGCTTTTCATAAACATTCTTACATACCCTCTCACAGTACCCACTGCTGCTGGCTTCTCTCGTGTCCTACCCACTCCTGAGCCACCTTTCACCAGGGCTGGATTCACTTACTTTCTAGCTCACTGATGAGCTGATTATTATGTAACTTGACAGCTCGATGCTGCTCCACCTGATCTTCCAGTTCAAATATGGTTTCCTTCATGTCTTTAATCTCTGCATCGCTCACTGATGCTTTCTCTTGCAGTTTTAGGCTGGTTCGGCTCAGCTGTTCTGCTTGATGATCACATATCTCCTTCAAGTAAGAATAATCCTTTTCCACCTAGAATAAAAGGAAGGTTCCCCAGTCAATTTAACAGGAAAAAGGTCCCCACACATTAGCATCAGGCTCACCAATGCAAAAGCAAAGGAAGCTCTTGGCACATGCCACACTGGCATCATTTCCACATTCTTAGCCTTAGACACAGCGAAGGCTATAAATACTCAGAGAAACGTGATATATGTAAAAAGACAAATGGGTGGATCCTGTGCCCCTTCCTACCAATATAAAGAAAGCTGCACACACTTAAATATTCTCCTTCCAGGCACCTGGGTAGAACAGCGCTTCACACTGGGAGGCTCTGGCGGGAGTGCCTGGTATGGCTGATTCCCCTCATCTCCGCTGTGGAGCGGCGCCACCTGCTGGTAAACCAGGAACGACACCCCTAAATCCCGACAGCCCCTATAAACCCCAATCTCTTTACCCATAAAGTACTTGGGGCTACGGTGGGTCTTTTTAGAGGAATATAACATTAATGTCAGAGAACACCAGCTGAAGGCACAGAACACAGAGATATGCGTGTACAAAGAGAAGTGAGTGGCACAGAACAGAAACTCATTTTACTTTTCCAATTTTCAATCATTAAACATTTAAAATACACAGAAAAGCACCAAAAGTGATGAGGTAACCATACACCCATACAGACTTAACAGTGGTTACATTTTACCACATTTGTTAAATCTTTTTACTTAACAAGATTTGTTAACACCTCAAGTTCCCTTCCACCCTAGAGAGTAATATGTATTATTCTAAAATTGGTGTGGTCATTCCTTGCATGGTTTTTATACGAATTTTACACAAATGATATTATACTATATCATGCTTTTGCTGTGTATTGTATTACACTGCATTACAGTACATGGTAATGTGTTTCTGTCCTGTATTATATTATGCTTATTATGCTTTTCTAACTTGCTTTTGAGATGTATTCCTATTGATATGCATTGCTCTAGGCCGTTACTGTAAAATGCTGCACAACGTTCTATTGTTTGAATATACTAATTATTTGATTATTGTGAACTGTCCCTTTTCTATAGACTTTCAATTACTGTTACTAAATAACTATATATTTATCATGTAATGTAAGCTTGATACCTAGTAGATTTCTTCCTAGATTTGGAGGGGTTTCCATATACAGTATATAAGTTTTTTGTGCAAACCTTCTGGCTGTCTGGTCTATGGGGACAGGGACCCTCCATGCTTTCTTCACTTTTCTATCCCCATGGCCAGCCCTAATGTGTGACAAACAGTGGAAGGAAGTGTTGCAGTTTTTCAATGGGAGGCTGTGATAAGGGTAAAGAAGGAAGAAAGGGGAGGNAATACCTGATGTGTGACAAACAGTGGAAGGAAGTGTTGCAGTTTTTCAATGGGAGGCTGTGATAAGGGTAAAGAAGGAAGAAAGGGGAGGAGGGAGAGAATAAGAGAGCGTGCCAGCGTGGGGAAGAGCCGGCGTGCACTGCCTGTGTTAAGGGGAGAACTCTTCTGTGAAACTTGTATTTCAATTATAAAGGTATGTGGCTCCGTATCACAATATAAAGTATGTCATTGTAGGTTGCTGTCGTAAGTTTGAAAGCTATTGTGGTACATAAAAAAGACCACGGGTGGGGACCTACAGCCAGACTGCCAGAGTTAAAATTCCAGTACTACCTGAGAGAGCTGAAGGGACAGCCGCCAGGGTGCCTGTGCTGAGTCCCTCTCCCACACGGCTCACGGGAGCCATCTTTCCTGGGTGTAGCTTTCCCCTCCACACTGCATCAGCCTGGGAAGGCGCATTAGCCCCACCCTCCTGACTCCCTGTCCTCCCACCCTGCCAAGCTCACACCCTGTGGATGAGTGAGCTGCCTGAGCCCATGGTGCAGACTTTCTTGGAGGGCTTTGAGGGCAACCTCAGGGGTGTCAGAGACAGTGAGTGGCTCTGGGGCAGGGGCCACCCCCTCAACCACCCCTGCCACACTGGACAGGTGCTGCTCCCCACAGGAGATCCACTAGCCGCATCCCCTTGACTGCCAGTGGCCCCGCACTGCAGAGCGTGCGTCCTGCAGAGGAGTCAGCTGGCTGTGGCCAGCTTGGGCCCTCGGTGCTTGCAGACACTCGGTGCAGGCTCTCGAGGAGGGAGAGACTGAGCTGTGTGGCTCTAGGGAGGGGTGACCTTTCCCTCGCAGGCACCACCAGCACCACTGTTTCTGTGCAGAGCCCTCCCTTCACATGGCCAAATCTTGGTCTCTTCGGGCCTGATGAACTCTGCTGGCCCCACCCTGATGACTCCGAGGCCCCGCCCTACCACAAAGGTCAGCGGGCACCTGGTGGGTGGCAGCTAGCCTTGGTACACCCAGAGACTTTTGCTGAGTGCCCTCAGTTCCAGCACTGGTTCCGAGTTTGAATCTGAATCTAGACAACACCACTTGCCCCTACCTAGTGACTCACTGAGAACCTACCTCACACATCTCATGTATGGCCCAAGGCTCTTTCAATGTCTAAGCCTAACAGGCAGCCAGCAAGGGAAGGCAGATCTCAGTGTGCCTTGACCTTTTGCTGACCTGTCCCCAGGCCCACTGCTGGTAGAAACCAGCCTTGGGGTGCAATTTCCCCTCCCATGCACAACAAGGCCCAGCAGGGCCAGGCACAAACTGCAAATTGCTCTGTAGCTCAGAACAGGTAGCCCAGGGTTAGTCACAGGCATCACCTAACACTGACCTGCACTGGAGTCACATCAGAGCACAAAGCAATTAGCTCCACAAGTGGCAAACCCAAAGAGAGATCTTGGCAGGCACCGGGCACTGCTGGGACAAATTCTATGTCAGTGGGTCACACCAGCACAGCAGCTCGTACACTGTACTCACGGTTGATCCTAATAGTCAGCCAGCCTGAGGCGGGCCAACAGCAATCAAGACTCAACTATAAGAGGAGGACCCACGGAACCTACAAGAAACATTCCTGGAGCACCCAGCTCAGGTGATAAGGGAGATTGTGGCACTGAGTCCCCCAGGACACCTACTACATAAGGCCCCCAACACCAAGACTGAGAGGCACAGCAGATCTACCTAATACACAGAAACAATTAGAGAAAGGCAGCCAAAAAATATACAGAAACATGCCCTAAATGAAAAAAACAGGATAAATCCCCAGGAAAATAACTAAATTAAGTGGAGACGAGCAATCTACCAGATACAGAGGTAAAAACAATGGTTATAAGGATGCTCAAAGAATTTAGGGGAAGAATGGATGAACTCAGTGAGAATGTAGAGATAGTAAAGATAGAAAAGGAGATAGAAACCATAAAAAGAACCTGGCAGAAATGAAGATTACAGTATCTGAAATGAAGAACAAAAGGAATCAACAGCAGGTTAGATGAAGGAGGGGACTAAATCAGCGATTTGAAACATAAGGTAGTAGAAAACACCCAACCAAACAGCTAAAAGAAAAAAAAATTCAAGGATAGTAAAAGGGACCTCTGGGACAACATGAGGCATAACAACATCTGCATCACAGATACTACAACAAGGAGAAAAGAGAGAACAAGGGGTCGAAAACCTATTTGAAGAAACAATGACTGAAAACCTCCCTAACCTGGTGAAGGAAAAAGACACACAAGTCCAGGAAGCACAAAGTCCCAAACAAGATGAACCCAAAGAGGCCCACACCAAGAAACATAATTACAATGATGAAAGAGAGATTTTTTTTTTT